TGTGTGTGTGTGTGTGTGTGTGTGTGTGTGTCTCTACTGTCCCAGCTGCAGTTTGATGAAACGTCAAACCAGAACTCACGTGAGTGTTTTCTGATCTTTCGTCTCGTTCGTTTAACAGAAGGTTAAAACCAGAAAAAACGAAATGAACCGGATGCAGAGTGTTGGCTCCGGGTTTAAAGTCACATGGTTTGTAACTCGGCTCACGTTCACGTCTCACCGCACAAAGTAATTCCACAAAAATCTGCCTGTGACTCACACGTCGGCTTCTCAACTGTCGTGTGTGTTGTGAACGGCCGGAGGGAGAGCGGCTGAATCTGGACACGTGTCATGTTTGATATTAATTTAAAATAAACATGTGTCACGTATGTGTAAATACTTTAATCGAACTTTTGAAGGTTAGAGTTTGGATGTTTTAGGCGTTAGAAGCAGTTGACAAATCACGACACAGTGGTCCAACTGGCCAATCAGGATAGACTGGGCTTAATGAGGAGGCGGGTCTCGGAAGAGGAAAGTGTCTCATATCTTGAACTCAAACAGCGACCTGTATTCTCTTCTTCCCCTGCAGGTCGACAGCCGGCATCCAACCTGTAACTTCATGCTGGAGGTGGAGAGAGACCAGCTGGAGTGCGTGAAGCGACTGAGGGAGGAGGAGGGCGGCGGCGGCGGCGGCCAAAAAGGTCACGATCACTCAGCAACGGGTCAAACTGAGCCGCCACTTCCTTCAGCAGTCTATGTTGCAGGGTGTGAAGACTCTGTCTTCAGAACTTTAATTCACTGAAGAAGAGGTTTCACTAACTGCATGAAGTCAGAGTTTAGTAAAAAGATGGAGATTCCCCTGCGGATGTGTGCTGCTGTGCATCAGTTGTGTCGGAGGTCCGGCCTCACATGTGTCTCTGGGTGTCTCGTGCACCCATGAGTTCAGATTCCATCCCTGTCCTTTCTTGCCCTCCCTGTCTTCTGTGTAACTTCCTCTCCTTCACTGCTTCTCACTTCCCTCTTTCTTTACCTCGGCACTTTCATCCTCCTTTTTTTAAACAACCTTTTCGTCTCAGCTCGTCTCTCTCCGAGCTCGTCTTTAATTTTCTCTCCTCCTTTAATTACCTTCTCTCAGAACGACACTCGCTTTTCTTAATCTGTTCTCCGTAAGAAAAGGTTTTCGGTCGTCGGAGAGACTCGACAAGAATAAGCTTTGGTTCCCACATTCCGACACAGGAACCCCAAATGCTGGGGTCCTCAAAAGAGGTGGTCTTCATGGCCCCTGAAATCAGGACACAGTTTGCATTTAGCTTCTTCCTCGCAGATAAAATAGAAAGTTCTGCTTCTCTGATTCTGCTCTTTTTTGATTTGAAACTCATAGATTTCTTTTTATAGCAGTATTTTCTTACTTCACTGTCTTTTGCAGAGATTCTGGGCTCAATTTTACCAGCGTGTCTATTCATCTGTCGCTAAAACGCCTTGTTGACTGCTCGGCTTGCCATCAGCACTTTTGTGCCCATTAAGGCTCACGCTGCGGAGCTGGAGCAGCTATTTATGGCAGCAGTATATGTTTGCTCTGTTTCTGGAGGGTGGGCGGAGGTTCCTTCTGTTCTGATCAAGTCTAAATCCTCCACACGCCTTACGCAAATTGTTCTGGTGTTCACAAATGCAAAATCCGAAATCCATGACGAGCAGTGGAATTGTTTTCAAAGGGATGTAGTTCGTCTCTGGTCCCGCTGTCATCAGCTCCTCGTGCTGAGCTAATTGCTCACAGGGCTGCTCATGCAGTAATCTTTTAATTATTAGAGTATTTTGTTGTCATTTATCCTATTCACCGTATTCACGTCCGCCGAGGAGCTTATGTGTTAGCCTCTGTCTCTTAGTTTCATCATGTGACCGATGCTAAATTGTTATGGATTTCGTTTTATGTTTCACTAAGAAACATTTACTCATGAAGCTGCTCTTTTCATCGTCACAGTCGCGGGTTGCAAAGGAACGTGGGACAACATCGCGTGTTGGGATCGAGCTGAGATCGGAGAGACGGTCACCATCCCCTGTCCTCGAGTCCTCAAGACTCTGTTTGGCAAAAATGGTAAAACCTTTATTATTATTATTACTATTATTACTCCTTCGTACGACAGGTCGGGCTGTCCCTGCTGCTCTCTCTCCTCTCGTCACCCCGCCACCAGCGCAATGCATGATGGTATATATTGCTCAGTCAGTGTCCATGGGTTGTACGCTGCTCTTCACAATGCATTGTGGGTAACGATGAGTGAACTGTACAGTGGACTGCACTGTGATTAGTGAGTGACAGTCATTGTGTCAGATAAGAATAAGAATGATATTCCTGCTCAGCTGATGAAATCATCTCAATCCTTGAACCAAAGCAGAAGTTCAGCAGAAATGGTTTCGTTGGAGATCATCCGCTGAGCGTCTCCTCTTCTCTCCTGTCAGGTAACATCAGCAGGAACTGCTCGTCTGCCGGATGGTCGGAGGTTTTCCCAAACATCAGCAGTGTGTGTGAGTCGGACACGAGCCAGGACAAGGTACAGTGACGCCACGTCTGTCGCCCTCTTGCTCTTTCGGTCTGTAAAGGTCAGAGCTGCGTTTCACCTGAGCCCTGATGCTTTTTCACATTTTCACTCTTGGACCAATTTGCGTAAAACAGCAGTTGTCGTGTTGTGTTTTCAGTTTGAACCCGAAACAAACATCAAGAATAGAATAGAGCTCCTTTATTGGCACGGTGGTGCGAGATTCAAGCGTAACACAACACCTGAAGGTATTTTTAAGGAAATGATGTAAACTGGATGTCGCTGGTTTGTTTTGGGGACATTTCAGTGAGGGAGCAGGAGAAGAGTCGCTGGTGAGGGGGACGATCGACCTTGTTTGTTCTCGGCGAAGATGATAATTGCTGCTTCCTCTTTCACTGCTCCGGTTCGGGTCACGACTGGTCATATTCTGAATCACCCATTGTGCTTGTTAAACTAACTGCCTGTTGCTCTGCTCGGTGTCTGGCTCCTCGTTCAGTCCATTTCTGCCTCTCTATCCGTCCTTCTCTTTCTGCCTTTCTTTGTCTTCACTTGTCCTGAAAATAGTGTCTGGACATTTTCTGGAGTTTGCGTTTCTCATGTAGAAGAAGCAGGCGGAGATTGTCCGGGAACATTCAGGCAAGGGGTGGAGATCAAAAATGTCCTGAACGATATTTTGTGTCCGTCAGATCAGGTCTATCTCCCTGTTTGCAGGACGAAGAAATAAAACGTTGCTTTTATTTCTAGGACGGAGAGGATGATTCAAAGCTCTGAGAATCATCACAACATGAGTCAACTGGAGGACAAAGACAGGAAGTAAAGTAGGAAACACAATGAAATGTCTAAAGGCACATTTCTATAGGAAATAAAATATGAAAAAGGAAAGATAACTGGGACGAGGCATGTCTCACACACACCCACACACACACCCACACACACACACACACACACACACACACACATCTGTTCTTCCTCCTCGTTCCAGAATTAAAAGTTTTCTCCACAAAAAAAAACACCGTTTCTCTTGATCCTCCAACGCACGCAGTTTAATGAGGCTGAATCTGATGCAAACCTTCACTCAGAGCTCAGACGCTTCGTTGCATCACATCTGTGCTGAGGAACGCAATTTATGTCCTGACGAAGGGAAGCAGGTCAATTCACTTTAACTTTATTCAAACCAGATTAAAACAAACCTCGTCGCTCTTTGCTGCTGTGTAACTGCAGCTTCCTCCATGTTCACTTGCTCGTTCTGGTTCATGCATGCACCACTGAATTACCCATTGTGGTGTCCTGCCTCCCCTCTCTCTCTCTCTCTCTCTCTCTCTCTCTCTCTCTCCCCCCCTCTCTCTCTCTCTCTCTCTCTCCCCCTCTCCCCCTCCTCCTGGAGGACGTGACCAGAGGAGCCAGATTTGTGACAGTTTTAGCAAATATGAGAGAAGGTTGTTAATATTATATTCGAGCGTAAAGCTAGTTCACGTCTGCAGCCTCTCGGCAGGTCCGAGTAGAAAGACGACACCACATCACAACACAAACACATTTCACGAGAGTATGTTCATCAAATGAATGAAACCAAGTCAAAAGAGCCGGGCGATGAAAATGTCGTGGCTTTTTGTCCAGTGTTATTTTTGTAAATGCTCCGTACGGCACCTTCGTCTCACCTGCAGGCTCAGTAAGTGACTGTTTCAGAACAACTTCAAGGCTCAGTGAGTTTCAGAGGTGTGACGCAGTGAGGACCGTTAGAAAACAGCAGTAACCGTCCTCCTCCCGCTGCAGCTCGTCTTCTACGTGGTCGTGCAGACGCTCTACACCCTGGGCCACAGTCTGTCTTTGATCGCCCTCACCACCGGGAGCGCCATCCTCTACCTGTTCCGGTGAGACCGGTCATCACACGGCTATTACACCAGATAAAACTTTGTGTGTGCAAATATATGTTTTGACGAAACACAAGTGTCGTGATGATGCTGTTGGTTTAATTGGATTTTAAATTAAGTGCTGCAATTAGACGCTTTAATTTCACAACTTTATTATAACTTGTCCATTGATATGTGTGTATCCTGGGAACACATGGCTTCCTTCATTCTGTTAATTGAAATGATGTTGATTGGAGCCGCTTCATTTGTTTCTGTTGGGATTAGTTTTAAAAAGCTTCCGCAGGTTTTACTCAGGTGTGAAAAAACGGATGAAGGGAGCCTCGCAAAGAAAACAGAAATATATTGAACTCTTTTCTAAAATGCGAATCTTGACCAACCTCAACAATCTATAACGTCCCCGTCACGGCAGCACAGGAAATATGTACGACACAGGCAGATTCAGTTTGAACCGAGAGCTGTTCAAACGATGTTGTTGTTCTGACAGAGTTGTGTTGTGTACCTGTAACGTCTGTGCAGGAAGCTCCACTGCACCAGGAACTACATCCACCTCAACCTCTTCTTCTCCTTCATCCTGAGAGCCGTGGCCGTGCTGGTCAAGGACGACATCATCTTCAACCGAACCTCGCAGTGCTCCAACCAGCCTTCACTGGTGAGGTCGCCGCCGCTGTCCCCACGTGGTCGCGTCCCCAACGGCAAAACTGTCACAGAGGGGAAACCGATGTTATGAAATAGAAAATGAGGTTTTGCAGAAATGAGCCACTCAATTTTTCCTATTTAAGTTTTGCAAACATAAATAGTTGAAGTATTCTCTGCATCATAAAAACTAGCAAACCATTTACTGACGTTAACCGAGTTGGACTGAAAAACCCTATTTAGTACGATATAGATTTTAAATGACATTGTATTCATTGACCTCTTGTCTTTTAATGTTTTTCTTTTCTTGTTTTTATCTGTCGTCTCTGTGAATTCACGTTGCAGCGGCTGTTATTTACCGTGCTACATAAATAAAGTTATTATTGTATGATACTCATTAACAGGTAAGAGGCAGACATTTTGAATTGAAGCTAAAAGTATCTGACAGAAACTGAAGCGTCTCTGTAATTGCAGATACTCTGTGGTGGCGCTCTGACCTTTATACTCACTGCTTGTAATTGTGTGATCCACAATTTGTTTATCCTCGGTGTTACCACTCGTTGATTGCCCCCGTGGAAGAATGGGAACATGTACCCACATATCAGGATCATTAGCATAATTGCCTGGTAGATTTCTAAAGGCGTCTGATCCAACTTCTCCGCTCTGCGAAGACAAACAATGAGATGTGATGAAAATGTTCTAAAGGTTCATTTTGTGTCACTGATAAAGCAGCTGCTAAAGGTTTTGTGACATTTAATATTTGAGGACTCAGGTTAGAGTCCGTAACCTCGTCGTATTTTCTACTCGTCTCGTGTGTATTTCTGTTTTCCAGGTGGGATGTAAAGCCAGCCTGGTGGTGTTCCAGTACTTCATCATGGCTAACTTCTTCTGGCTGCTGGTGGAGGGTCTGTACCTCCACACTCTGCTCGTCGTCATCTTCTCCGAGAACAGACACTTCATCGTCTACATGTTCATCGGCTGGGGTAGCTAATCCATTCCAGCTGATTTTGCTCTTCTGGATTTATGGCTCATTGTTTTCAAATGTCAAATGAAGTTTCAGAATAACTGGAGATGAAAGTGGAACCAGTATTTATCAAACTATTAAAAGTAAATCCTTCTCTTTTACTCCGACTTACACATTAAGCATAAAAGCTTTTTATTGAACCTTATGAACAAGTAAAACAATAAAAACTTATGGGGCCACATTTAGATTGCGAGTGATCGGTTCACGGACTAAAGAATTAAAAACAAGTCGTGAAAGAGACAACTGTGTTGTTGCAACTTGCAGGTCTGCGCACAAATGCAGCTGAAACCATGCGGCCTGACTGTCTGCGTGGACAGTAAAAACTCTTTGGATGATAGCACAAGTGTCCATGCAGCGGATATACGGCTCCACACAGGCAGCAACGCAACCACCAGGTGGCGATCTCTCGAAAGACAAAAAAAACTAGTCACATTTTTAAACTAACTAAGGCACAGGAATGAGGCACATCTGGTTCCACAGTGGGAAAGTGTGTTTCTTAACACGGTTCTGTTTTAC